AATTTTTATTACAGTTTCTGAAAAATGAAGAAATGGTAAAAAAAATCTGGAATTTATGGAATCTGCTTAGGAGATGAGCCGACCGGACTATGCATCGCAGCAGAAATGACGTTCCCCTGGGTAGCGTGAGATGAAGAAGATGCCGCTGTTCCAGAAGGTCAGGTCTGGATTCTTTGTGAGCCGGATCTTCATCGTTGTCCCAGCCGCTGCCTTGCGCTAGGGTGCCAACCGATGGCTGAGTCTTCGCAACCGACGTTGGAACATCGTCGGAAACTCGTCGTCGTTGTTCCAGATCCATTCTCTGCTCCAGGTCGTTGCCGTCGTCGCCAGAAAATCCGGAGATGTGGCCTCTGTCAGACGGTGCTCGAGGTCGTGGCCGACGTCCCAGCACTCACCGCGTTGCCAGAAAATCTGACCTGGTTCATCCCTGTGGTTGGACGAAGAAAACCTGGCGGCCGGAGTCAAAGTTGAGGTCGACGACAACGAGCGACTCCCTCTCTGGATGATGAAAATTTCCAAGACTATGCCGATGATGTGTTGAGCAAGATGTCTCTCCACAAGATGACTAAGACCAATTCAATGGAAGGGATGGTGAGCTTTGCCCTGGCCGAGCAAAAAAAATGGCGTAGGTCACAGTTGATGGGTCAAGGCTCATTTAAGCCAGAAATGGTTTGACCCCGATAAAAGTTAAGTGCTTCAAACTCCATTGATAAAATTAACATTTAGAAAGAAAAATTTGGTTTAAAAAAAATCATAAGTTGAAACACTTAAAAAGAGAATAATTAAGTGGTATAATTGCTTTTACTCATTTCAAATGTGTGTAATTTTAACATTGAAAAACGGACTTATGAAATCCGATCACTCACGTACACCGGTCGAGCACACACACTCGTACAATGGCCGAGCACACACACTCGCGCCACCGGATCATGTCATATGGGTGTGGCGATTAATAAGCTCCAATATAAATGTTAATACCGCACACTCTTGAGTTCATACGAGTTCTTGCATGCTCTTACCCCTTCCCAGTGCATCACACTCCGACCTCGGGGGACGAGTCGCCCGTTCAAAGTCTTCACTTGCGGGTTCGAACTACTAACCTCGGGCGGTGAGTTAAACTCTTTTTAGGGGCCTAGAGCCATGCTCTTTCAAGCAATTTTGTCACTTAATTGACATTCACATTTCCCGAAAAGGTCGATATACTTTAGTTTTGTGGGGTTGGATTATCCGTTCGAATGGTGACTCCGAGTCACTTACTCGCGGATTCAATCTTCCTTTCGGAGACTGGGTTGAGGCCTAACTTGGAAAATTGATGTCACTCTTTTCAAGTAGTGAGTCCGACTCACTCACTCACTTAATTGACATTCACATTTCCCGAAAAGGTCGATATACTTTAGTTCTGTGGGGTTGGATTATCCGTTCGAATGGTGACTCCGAGTCACTTACTTGCGAATTCAATCTTCCTTTCGGAGACTGGGTTGAGGCCTAATTTGGGAAATTGATGTCACTCTTTTCAAGTAGTGAGTCCGACTCACTCACTCACTGAGTCGTGGTTCAACACCAGACCAAATGCTCTATTATACACCTGTTGCTTTTATGTGTAGGTACGACTGAACGAGGAGTAGCCTGATGAGTTCAAGCCCGACGAGAAGAACGGTTTTAGTCATCCTCTTCACAGATGGCGAACATTGCAATAAAGGCTAAGGATTTCACCTCTTCTTCATCTTGGGGGCGTCAGGTGTACTCTTTTTCCCTTCATTGGGATTTTTTCCCATTGGGTTTTTTCCTAATGAAGGTTTTTAATGAGGCATCTCCCCGACATGGACAAGGGCGGGGATCTTCCAGTCTCGAAGAAGAGCAACTGACTTGGACTACTCCCTCTTAGCCGAGTTTACTACTCGACTAAGGGAGTGGGGGACTCGTGATGGAGTAATAGGACTAGGCCCAGAGCCTAATCGGCCCAAGCCCCGAACTTGGACCCGTGGATCCAAGTCCACAACCTGGAGCCTATCTACCGGTCCAGCGGGGAGCCTGTCAGTCCGCCTGACCTGCCAGCTGGGAAAAGTAACGGTCAAGCAATTAATGCGTTGTTTAATTATGTATTTAATTTCGTATTAATGTTGTGATTAATTAGTTATTATTATCGATAGCGGTTACGATTTGTATACGCCTATAAAAGGCAGATTGTAATTCAGATTAGGGGAGGAACTTCTATATGCTATTTCTGGTTCTCAAACTCCGTAGCTACTTTCCATTTTCGTAGTACTTCCTGATTTCTGCTTGAGTGTCTATCGTAGCTTTCCTAAAGCCTACGAGCGTCCTATTTTGGACCAACAAATATATTGTTACAATTACAGAACATATGTTCAATATAAGAAATGTTTCGCCTGTTAACTAACATACAAAAATTTTCTATCAAAGGTCGATGCTATATCGCTAAATACGTGACTTAAATATCTTTTATTACTTCAAACTCATATGGTTACAACATTGTCATATATGTGAAATATGTATTGCTCATAAAACTGGTTTGACGCACACTATATGCATTTGGATGATATTTACATCAATATTCTTCAAACCCGTTTGGTAACTCTATTTTTCGGCTTATCAGGCTTATCAACCACCTTTTTAACCAAACACATAACTTTTGATTTCGCGCGCTGAATTTTGTAATAATATGAAAAAGTAATGGTGTAGTTACTTTTCTGGCTATATTGGCTGAAGTTACTGTAGATGACTATTTTAATTTTTTTTCATATAATTTTTTCTTTATTTTATTAATAAAATATATTTTAAATATAATTTCTCATAAATCAGCAGAATCAGCCAATACAGCCACTTCAACCAGAACTTCATAAATTTCAGTTGAATCACCCGATTCAACAATTTAAGTGTTACTAAATGAGCTCTTAATGTATTTGTACATAATCACATATTTTCCACATAAACATATATTTTCCACACAATAATTGGTTGATATAGAATATAATTATTCTGACAATTTTTAAAATATACGTAGTATATGATATGTAAAATTTCATTAACTATTTACAAAACTGTCATACCAATATTGCATATAAAACTTTTTTACAAAAGATAACATTATTTTAATATTGGACAAACACTATCGCGCCTTGCGCGAGTAATCGCTAGTGTATATATATATATATTAAAGATCAAATGAAAACAGTGCTTAACGTGAGAATATCATCACATTCACCCCAACGTGTTGCACAATGAAGCTTGTATATTTCACTTTTTCACATTTCTGCAATATTTATCAAAATGTCACCGTGTTTATTTAATATAGGCTTAGTTCAAACAAATTGAAAATGTGCAACAAAATAGCTCTATTGTGCACCAAATTGATTTAAATGTGAATGTTCTCACGTTAAGCATTGTTCTCACTGGAACCGCACCTTATATATATTGTATTTATATTCACTTCATCTTTAGGATATAAATAAATAATTTAGACATGAAAAATACATGTTTAGCATATATCATTTTAACTTCTTTTATAGATTTCCTACATTTATTATGACAAAGTATATTGCAATGTTTTGTACTCTACCTGTATGAAAAGAAGTTTGGCGATAACAATAGTATATTGCATTTATATTTTTTACATGATTCATTTGAATAAAATTGTGAATATTACAACATTTGTACCTCTAACTCATTTAATATTTTTTTAAATATTTTTATGTGAAACGTAGTATTATAAATGTTAATCAACTATAATTTTTTTGTGAGAAGTGAATCCTTTTCTAATGATAAAAAAGATGTTAGAAGTTTTAATGTTATCAGTGTTGGTAAGATAAATTAGGTGTTAATTTATAGGGAAAACTGTCAAATAGGTCCTCGAACTTTCAGAAAAAAGTCAATTAAGTCCTTCTATAGGAGACTCTATCCGGTCGTCGCGATTTGGGGCGGTTCTTGGTGGAATTTTTTGATGAAATTTTTTGAGCATCCTATTCATCACGTCTAGTTTATTCATACCAAATTTCAGCTAAAAATTCAACTGGGAAAGCATTCAAATTAATTTTAGAATGCAAAAATGCGCAATTATCTTCAAGAATTAATTTGAATGTGTTCCCGATTGAATTTTTAGCTGAAATTTGGTATGAGTAAACTAGACTTGATGAATGAGATGCTCAAAAATATTCATCAAAAAAATACATCGGGAACCGCCCCAAATCGCGATGGCCGGACAGAACATCCTATAGAAGGACTTAATTGACTTTTTTTATGAAAGTTCGAGGACCTATTTGACAGTTTTCCCTAATTTATACTCCATAATGTTTTATTATTTCTTTTTCTATCTTTTATTTAAATAATAAATACAAGAAGGTGAGAAGGACTACTACTTTCATTTTCCAATTCTAAAATATAGAACTTTATCAAATAAAAAAATAAACATAAGAAACTGAATCAAATCTGTAACACCGTCCCCAAATATATTTACCTTTATGAAAATTATGTATTGAACATGGCGTGTCTAGTAATGAATTTACGAGGTTGTAAATTTTTGTTATTTCTTTTGCGTGAAGAGTAAACTCCACGCGGGGTCCACACTCGGAGCGGGGGTAACCCGATAACACGAGACCACATGTTATATTCATCTTGGTCTAGATAATAGTTACATGGTGGTGGAAATTCATAATGGGCCATAAGAAGGCATTGGGTTGACCGGTTTGTCAAACAGAGCCCAATTACTAGTACCGACAATTTCTTCAGATAACAGTCCGAAATGAATTTCGGAGACTTTAAAATTAAAGTTGGGGAATGTACATTCATTCTTAAGATCCATAATTTCTATGGACATGTAATATATTTTATTTGACCCGATAAAATAAAATATACTTAAAACAGTCCGAAAGATACAACTTTCGGGGACGATTGTACAGCTCTGGACATATTGGGATGACCTCCCACACAAGTGGGGGCCACCCCACGAATTTGTGTGGGCTGTGATAGGGGAGAGGACGGATGAATGGGATGAGAGGGTGTAGGCAATGTTGACTTGAAGAGAATGGCATCAAAAGGACATTGGAAGGGTCCATGCCATGCTATCATTGTGTAATAAGCCAAAAAGAGGGTGTTGCCTCTCACCTCCATCATTCATTCGACCCAAGGCATCCAAGAGGAGTAAAAGAGCTCTGCAACTCCATTCTTTCACAGCTAATTTCGAGCTCAAGTCCAAGGCATCCAAAGAGGGAGTTTAAAGAAGGGAAAAGGGGAAGAAAAGGTGTGGTGATTAAGGTAATAACCTTATCACAACTTTTCCTTTATTTTTCTCCTAGCATATGAGATATATATCACGTGAATAACCCCTAGGATGGTTCTACATGCCCAAAGTGTAGAACAATGGGTTGAAGGGTGGTTTTAAGTCCAAGAGCGGACTTAGAAGCCATAGAGACCGGTTCACCGGAAAATAACCTTTTAAGGGTTATTTGTATTGATTAAGGTTTTATGATGTTAAAACCTTGTTAGGCACTTGTAAAGGGTGATTCAAGAACTTTCACGAAGTTGAAAGAGTTACCGGAGTTGTCGCCGGAGTTCATCAAAGTTCGCCGGAGTTTCACCGGAGTTCAACCGGGAAGGGTAGAACTTCATAACGTTCATTCGAGGTGAGTGGACGGCTTAATGTCTTATAACTCTTGGGTTAAGTATGAGATTACCTAAATAAATGTTATAAGTATTCATAATGATGTTTAAAAGAGTTTAAGCATGTGATTAGTCAAGATGATTAGGCTTATGTGAATAAAACTACATGATTATGCATGTGGAAGGTAGAAAATGTGTATAAAAACATATGTGATGTTTTGGATGGCCAAAATGGCATTTATTGATTGTTTTAGACATGAAATAGGTTGTATAAAAATTTCGGATCAAACGGATCACGATTCGGGGGTCAACTCGGGGGTCAACGGGTCGTTGACCCAAAACTCCGAACATACCCGGCGCCGGGTATAGGGCATACCCGGGGCCGGGTAAGCTACTGCCTCCACATTTTAATTTCACCGAAAACGCGAACCGAAGTCCGGTTCAAAGGAGGGGCTGACCCCGTACAACCTATGTGTGTATATTGTGCATGGAATTGCATGGAATATGATGATTTAATGTCAAGGTTGATATTTATTGATGTACTTCTAAGACTTGGTTTAGTCTTTAGTAATAATATGATATAGACCCTATCTAGTGTGATATGTGGTAAGTCATAGGTCGGGTGGAGTACCCAGGGATCGGGCGTGTATCCTCAAAACTCGGTTATAGGGTGGAGTACCCAAGGATCGGGCGGTTATGCTCAAAACTCGGTTATATAGGGTGGAGTACCCAAGGATCGGGCGGTTATCCTCAAAACTCGGTTATATAGGGTGGAGTACCCAAGGATCGGACGGTTATCCTCAAAACTCGGTTATATAGGGTGGAGTACCCAAGGATCGGACGGTTATCCTCAAAACTCGGTTATAGGGTGGAGTACCCAAGGATCGGGCGTGTATCCTCAAAACTCATAAGATTACATTTAATGATCTAGGACCGGGCGGTGTCCTTATGATAATTTATTTGAACAAGGAGGAGTTCTATACACTCATAGGTATATGGGTGGGTTGGGATTTAAGTCAAGGATATTGGCTACTATTATTTCCCGAATAAACAATGACCTACGGGTCGGGTATTTCCAAGTGTATGCATACTAATATGTATTTCAAACTTGGGGGAAGGACTATATGTATATGTATCACCCTATGTTTGGGTCTTATACTTGAAACGTTAGTTATTCTACATTTAGCTTGCTACTCGCTCGGTACTTGTACTGACCCCTTCGGGGGGCCCCACCATTTCAGGTTGAAGCTAAGGCTAGCTATCCACATTTTGCTCGGTGAAGTATTCTAAAGGAAGACGTGGTTCGTGCTTCCTTTATTGTTTTAAACTACAAACTTGCTCATGGATACTTTGTAATAAATACATTTGTTTTGGGCCTGCGTGCCTACGTTTGGCCATGTGTGGTCCATGATTGAATATTGAATATTTTCGCTATTCATTCAATCCCAAGATGTGATGTTGTTATGTATGTTTACTTACTGAGTATGGTATGGACTATGTTCATGGACGCCTTGTGTGACTAAGTCGCGTTGACTTGCGAGTGACGTCATTTAGTCATACGGCGGTTGTACACGCGCTCAGATGCGGTCTGGGGTGTGACAAAATCGAACTAAATTGAACCTAATAATTTTCACTTTGGTAAACCGAACTTCAAACCGAACCGAAATCAAACCGAAACTCAAATGGTTTTAGTTTGGTACAAATTCTCCCAAACCGAATAAACCGAAACCGAAGAAAATCAAACCGTAAACCGGATTGCCCACCTCTAATTGTACTTGCACTTATTTAACCACGAAAGAAGTATTATATAGTTTTTTTTTATATTTATTCTATCTCAATATATTTTGACAACTTTTCTAATTTAGTTGTTATAAACAAATTTGTCATTTTTAAAACTCCCCTTCTCCACAAAATCTTAACAACTTTTTATTTTCTTATTTCAAGTGGAAGACAAGTTTGATCAACTTGTATAGATTAGAGAGAGTATGCGATTGTTCATGTTATATAGCCATATAGGGGTGGAAAGGGTACCAAGATTGGTCTGAATCAGGACCAATTAGGGCGTTTCGGGGGTGGGGGAGTGGGCGGTGGTCTTGGGGGTCGCAAATCCGGTCTTGGAACCGCTGCCCTCGGTTTATATTACTTAGTCCCGGGTTGCCTAAAATTGGGATTAGAACGAGTCAGCCCCGGTTCCGGTCTAGTCCCAACAGCTAGTATGCCCCCCCCCATCGGTTGGCCATCCCCGAAGGCTTTTTAGTGCTCAGCTCGCAAACAGTTCTTTTGATCGTTGGGCTGGTACGTAGGCAGGGGCAGAGCCAGGAGGCCCAGGACACTGGGCTAGACTGGGCCGGTACAAAGAATATTTTTGAAAAAAAAATTACACGCAATTTTTTACACTAAAAATTAAGACATTTTTTATATTTGGGCTGGGCCAGGGTCAGGTCTGGCCCACCCCTAACTACGCCACTGTACGTAGGGTAGGGTGGTGTGGGAAACTACTCATACATATCATTCTTCTCATTTTTCACACACTTCAACTACTCAATATCTCATCTTACTCTACATCAACACTACTACTCTCTTATGTATTCATATAATTCAATACTCATATTAGTTCATATTCATACCTCTTACACCTTTCAAAACTTTGCCAAGTTTGATCGGTAATGAGAATAATAAAGTAAAAGTTATATAGTTAAGGTTTCTAAAGAAGAGAGAGAAATATTAGGAATTACAAATTAATTGATTAAAAATGACAAAATATTTAGGACATGTTAAAAAAGATGCCAAAGTTATCAGGAACGGAGGGAGTATTATTTAATATTCATTCTATTTAATATGTAGTACTCATATTTTCATACTTATTCATATAAATCTTCATTCTACTGTTATAGTTATATCAATATTCATAATGTCGGGATCTCGAAAGTCTATTGATTTTGGATAGTCTATCATGTTACCCTAAGACAAAAATTCTTAAATCTTCTACTTCCTCAAATCGTGGAAAATGCCCTATAGGATCAACATCTAAAAAGACAACGCCTATATGGTACACCGTGGTGTACACGTACACAGGAGCGGAACCAGGGGTGGGCGAGTCGGTGCCGGCGCCACCTCTTCATCTTCTTCGTTGAGACTGCCGTTGCCTGTGGGAGATGCTGTGAACCAGAGCTTAGGGAAGGAGCTGACAACCTGTTTTCTTTTTAATAATTAATGAGCCAAACGACGTCGTTTGAATAAGTGCACAGGGAAAACAAAACGACGTCGTTTTGGCCATAACTATGATATGCGCGTTGACCTTCTTTTTTCCCTAATTCGTTGTGCGGCCTATGCCTGTTCGTCGTTCCAGTCCAGAAGCCGTCTATCGCCTCGCCAATCGCCGACCGGCCTTTACGACTCTGGATTCGGCGTCGCAGCCTTGCTTTCGCCAGTCCCTTCTCGGCTGCCCCTGCGTGACTGCGTCACGAACTCCATAGTTTGGCCGTTTGGATAAGTCCGTAAGTTTGGCAATTAATTTTAAAGTTGAAATCTGTTTTAATTACCTTATTTGCTTATTTGATTTAATTAATTATTTACTTTAAAATTGGATTGATTAAATGTTTAAGGTTTACATTCTTTTGCACGTTTATTGGTTTAAATTGATCTAAAGTGTAATTGATTAATGGGGTTTTACACAAATATTACTAAAGTAAAACTTATAATTTACAAAAATATGACCGTTAGTTAATTCTCCGTACAATGTAGTGTCATATTAACTCAGGTTTAAAAGTTGAGCATAAATTACTATGATTTCATTATTAACTAGTTACATTTTTAAGTAAACAATCTTTATTTTAATTATAAATATGTAATTATTTCTTAATTAATTGCTTGAATTGGTATAACCGTATAAAGTTGAAAGGAAAATTTAACACTAATAATCCAACCTTTACCCGGTCTTTCCAAAACGGTCCCAATTATTAATAATCCAAGAAAAACCAACCTTTGTATTCTACCTTCCGTTTATTCTACCTTCCGTAAACGGTCCCAGCGTATTATTACCGGTTGTTAAAGGGTTTATTAAAAAATAATACCGGTTAAGGTTTAAATAAACGCTTCTTTTCCTTCCACGCCTAACTTCTCCTTCCTTCGCACTTCCTCACACCTGCGATTACCTTGTCTAACATCTTCTTCCTCATTTCAAATTCAATGTCCGCCCCAGACATCCATTCAGACGGTGGTGGGTCTTGCTCGACGAAATCAAGCAAAGGAGTAAATCCAAGAGTTAAGTGTCATCACAACATCAATTCCGTTTTAAGGGTTGTTAAAAATGGGATTAACGTTGGGAGAAAGTTTCGTGGATGCTCGGTATGACCGGTAAATGTGTTAAATTTTAATATTATGTTATTAGAAACATGGTAAAAGGAGCTAGGGTTCATACTTACATTTTAATAGTCAGAAGTTATGTTAGTTTGTCTGGAGTCCAAGGAATGGGTTTTAGTTTGTGACTTTGTGAGACACTCAATAATGATGTACGCCGTATGTGTATATTCCACAAAGAAGCTATGCTTGAGATGCATGCTTTAAGTCTCAATGTACTGCTGATGGCATAAAATTACAAATAGAGTATATGCAATATACTAATATAACACATGAAAAATGACACATGAAAAATGTAATCTGCCTAGTCGTAAAATCATTGAAAAACTTGGTGGATACACTTTTGCTAAACTGCAATCACGACTTTGCTGACATTTTTAATGCATATTGTGAAAGCTTAGTTGATACTTAATGGTTTCAAATTGCGGTCCGCAACCGCAATTGCGGCCGCAATATTGCGGTTGCCGAGGGCACCGCAACCGCATCAGCCCGCAACACCTTTGTGATTTGGAATCATGGCCAAAACCGCAACGTAACCGCGACAAAACCGCAACATAACCGCGACGGCGCCGCAACAGCCCGCAATCGCCTGCAACAGACCGCATCGCCTCCGTGGCCTCCTCCTGTCCATCTTCATTATGCCTCTGCAACATTTTTATTGGTTTAGCATAGATGGGTGTACATGTATAAGGTGTTGGATAATTATAAATGAGTGTATGGGTGTTGGAAAATTATCAATGTACGACTGTACGTGTGCATGACTGCATGTCTTTGTCCTTCAACATTATACACGCATGGAGTAGTAAATAATTACTCTCTACAAAATAAAGAAGGCATGCATGGCTTTATATTAATGGAATGGGTTCACGCAATAGCCATGCATAATCTTTTATGGAGTAGTGTAGTACTATACGAGTGTCAAATAAACTAATGTTTGTTAAATATAATTAATACTGAGTAAAAGATATGTTAAAGAATGTAAAAAAATCATGAGATTCCTTTCTGGTGCGAATTTGAAAACAATTCACGCCGCAGCGACCGCAATACGCATCGCAGCGACCGCATTAGCCGCAACCGCAACGACCGCAACCGCAACCGCAACCGCGACCACAACCGCAATTTAAAACCATGGGGGTTTGTACAATGGATCCATTGGTAACACAGCCATGTGTAATGCCATTCATGCTTGTGTTTTTCTTTACAGAATAACGATAGCTGTATAATTATGTATTTCATCTTATTATCTGATTGATATAACGAACTGTGTTTTGTCAAGATGAAATCTTGGATTGGTAGGTTAATTTGAGGATTTTCTATGTGTCAGGATGAAGGTTGCAATTTCTTCAAGTGGGAAGATGGAATTGAGGCAAAACCATGTCTTGAAGATGAAGAGGTCAACATAGTTCAGAAGCCACAAATCCAAATTGAGCTAGAATTTCAGAAGAGGTTGCTTGAAGAAAAGTTGAAGAAGTTGCAAGTGAAAAATAAAAATTTGAAAGAAGAAGTGAAACATATGAAAATTGAAGCTGAAATTGGGATAATGTTGTCATGGCTTTTTTTTTTTCTGTTGTATATTTGTTCTTCAAATGATGTTGTAGTTGGTTTAATATCCTCTATTATGTATAAATATATTGATCTAAACTTATCAATATATGTTTGAGTATTGGTGTAGACTTATGAATGTATGTTTTTGAATATTAGTTAATATATTGTTGTTCCCAAATTTGAAGTGCATACTGGTGCTTATAGTTTATGCTCTATCAGGTTCCCTCCTAGAATATATTTTGATAGACAAAAGTTAAAAGGAGTGAAGGAAGGTAGAAATTTGAAGTGTTTGTCGAGTTATGTCTTTCTTTTGCACCAATTGCACGTATACATTTCATGAGCTTCTTTAATGTTGTTTTAAATTTTTGTGAGATACAATTGCCAGTTTGTGGACCCGTGATATTATTAACTTCATTTAAGATTTGTTCCATTAGATCAAGTTGTGTGATGGGTTTTCTTTTCAGCCAGCTTATGAACAGAATCAACAAAAAGCTGATAGCATATTTTTAGGACTTTTATACACTGCTATAAAGTGAAAACAGCTGCTGGTGCATATTACTTGCATATTGCTGCTTTAAAGTGGGACTTTTATACCACCAAGTGA